TTTTCGTTTTAGTATCTAGTTACATGAGCTACTTGTAGTCAACGCTCACTTCAAGTAGAAACTTCTAGTGTTTCTTTAGTGTCTTTTCTTTGTATCGATTCAGTTCAAGTCATTCGCTTTATTCGTTGTGCAATAATTAAATTCTGAATATCGATTAGTGAATAGCTATTCATTTCTCGATGACAGTTTAATTTGCATTACGGGGTTGTGAAGACTGTTAAAAGGTACACATTTTTGAAACCATGAATCGATCAATGTCAGACCACCATTAGAAACCTGGAAGCACTGAAAGACGGCCGTTTCGTCCTAGTATGGGACTCATTAGTGGCAGTGCGCATCCATGACTCCTGCACCTTGCGGGATTCGAACCAGGGACCTTCGGTACTGTGCGCGAATGCCTAAAAGTTTAATTGTCTACATTCATCTTGTAATGTAGTTGGAAGTGTTCGATTAGAGATCATGTATGTAGATTTGTGCTAATCAGAATTTTTCAGTAGATCATTTCTGAACGAAATATTATTTCATTAATGGATACATCTCTAAATATGAATATCTAGGTAAATTTGGCTTCTGCTTTAACATCAAATTCCATCAGTTATCGGACATTAATTCAGTGTAACCTCTCACTGATACGCACGTCAACTGACATGCTTGAAACTATTACGAGTTCACCTTAGTTGGGAAACGAAAACGGAAACAAATGATTTTGTGACAAGATAGGCTACTCTAATCCGAACGTCTCAAGGTTCTACTAAGTAGATGAAGAAGTCTTGATATGGCATAGAAAGTGTATTCTACAAGCACCCAATAAATATGAGGTCGACAAGCACACAAATCGAGTTTATTTATACATGATAGAAGCATCCTTTGTGAGAGCCACAAAAATAGCGTACTAAAACAACCTCTCAACCAATCACAGTGAAGGATTTCCCGGGTGAGGAATGTAATCTCAAGGTCAACTAAGCAACTTATGCGCAAAAAACACACAAAATTCGCACCCCTTTTTCAAGTGAGTCCTGAGGACCGAACGTTTCCTCATCAGTCACGGACAACAAAATGTTTGCTAAATTATTTCAGTTAATTAATTATTGAAATTCTCTAACTATCAATTCTTAACATCTTTTCAAAATTTTAACAGGGAAAAAGTCAATATACACACAAAACAACAAAATTCACGTTGATATTAATCTATTGAATAGTTAGTTCAATGATGTAGGTGTTTCACAATGAAAACTACTGATGTTGATGTTGACGATAATGATGATGATGAGAGTAAAAGCATATACATTTAACTAAATTTCTAATTACCTACTTTAAATTTGAAAACACTTATTTTTTTCTTTTCTTTTACGAGTTACAACAAAACCGGTAGTGAATAGGTTAAAGAAGTGTTGTATAAGTTGTAAATTACCAAACAGAAAAAAAATTATACAAACTACCAATGTATATTTCCCCAATCTCAGCCACACACACACACACACACGCACACATAGTCAATTATAGAAGAGGATATTTTAGATTGTTCAATAATTGAAAATTTTTCCTAATAGACCACCCAAGAGCAGTGAAAAGCACTTAAAAAAAAAATAAAAGTTACGTCATGTAGGGCTTTTTTTTCTCTTGTTGTTTTACTTTTAGGTAAGCATACATAGCTACTACAATCTCTGGCATTTTATTGTTTCCAACTAAATGGTGTACTGTTCTGTGTGTGTGTGTGCGTGTGTGTGGTTTTTTCTCTCATCGAATTATTGTAATATTTAACTGACAAGTGTTATTCTTTTCAACAACAACAGCAACAACAACACTACATCATATCGTTGCAGTAGGCCGTTTAACACTACCGCTGATTACATATGTGGTAGGTCCCTATTATTGCACCAAAATAAGAAAAAAATAGGTAATTACAAAGTTTTTTAGCCATGTAAATATGTATTTATGCATAGGTTCAGTTCGGTTGTCCATAATACTACTACTACTAATACTACTAATACTACCTGCCATAATTTATGTAAAGTTGAATAATAATAATAAGTAGTAGTAGTAGTAGTAGGTAGGCTGTGTAGAATAAATGCAAAAAACTATTCAGGGCTCCTGTCAATTCTTCATTTTATTCTATTTTATTTTATATTTCTTCTTCTTCTGATTATTATTCCGAAAACTTCTCCCATTGGGCCTACCGCATTGATGTTATTCAATTCAATGTGTTGGCGATTTAAGTGTGTTGCTCCCCCCCCGCATCCAACGTTAAAAACCAATAAATCAAAGCATTGTAGAAGAAGATTAGTATAGTATAGTATAGTGTTGTTGCAATTTATTTTTTTGCAGCTTTGATTAAAAATGTACATTTAGTGGAATTAGTTAGTTAGTTAGTTAGTATACTTTGAATAAGATAAAAATCTGGAAATTATCAAAAATTTCACACTTGATTTATGAGCGCCAATATTTTTTTCTATGTTTTTGCATACTTAGGCATCTCAGTTGCATTTTTAATCCATGTGGATAGTTTATATTCGACGCTCCTTAATATTATTATGATTATTATTATTGTAAGATGACCACCACACAAAACATTATAGTGAATTGGTATATTATAATCCCATAGGAAATTTTATTTAGTTTAACTTGTTTTACAAGTTGATTATGATTGTTTTAGCCTGTTTGATTAGTTTGGGTAATTAAATATATATATTGGTTTTTTCCTGTAGATAGATGGTTGTGAAACATGGCCGGTACGAGTAGAAGATATTCATAGGTTACTAGTATTTGATCATAGATGTCTTAGAAGCATAGCTTGTCTATCGTGGGACAACTCAGTAAGCAATGCTGCCATTAGGAAACGAGTTCATCAGTTCAGGTGGTTAGGACATGTGTTACGAATGTCTAACCACCGACTGCCTCGACTAGCTATCTTCTGTGGTGTAGGAGTAGGTTGGAAGAAAGCTAGGGGCGGCCAAACCAAAACATGTCACAAATCCATGAAGTCACTGATAAGTGGACTGAGTCATGTTGGTAGGTGTGTACTACCTGGTTGGTGTCCTCGAGACTAAAGTCATCATGGTTAGGGACTTTGAATGACATGGATCAAAATTGTTCGCAGTGGCACAGGTGCATCCACTCTTTGTATTCTCTCAAATCCTAATCTTCTGGATTTGTCAACACTTCTACCTTTGTCATTCTAAACTTATTTCACTGAATTATACTTGTTCAATAATATCTTCAAATCCTAATCTTTTTTATTACCAGTAATACTTCTACTATCTCTATCACTATGGGTTTGGAATTGACAATTGCTTCTTTGTGGAAACGTGGTATGGCAACAACCTGAACTGATGTACTTACGTACGAAGTTCTACGTTGTAGCTGACTGACTTTCCTTTTTTCAGAGATGTGTTGTGAACTGTATTCAATGATTTTCTTATTTATTGTAGACTAGATTCTTGAAAGCAGATGGCTATTGTAAGTTTGGCAAAGATGTCACACAGTAACACGCTTGTTGTGTATAGGTCAGTAGTGTTTAGAAATACATTGTTATCTATAGATAAAATGATTATTTCAGTTGACTTTCCGCCCCAGTAAAACACACAGACGCACAGGGTTAAATTTATCATTAAATTGTTTGTCAATTTTCGCTGAAATCAAAACCATCGTTCAACTTAAATTGTAACGAGAAATTCTTTGTTTAGTGTAAAAAAATGACACATTATTTTACAAATTAGATCCATGAACTGTCATAAAATAAAGACCGTCTATTTTATGGCGGTTGTTATTTAAGACTGCTGAAAAGAAGCAACGACATTGAAATAGATTGATCCAAACGATTTGGTTAAGTGATGACTGGTCAAGAGACTGGATTATTATTTGAATTAGCATTCAAACAGTCAAATAGAAAGTCACCTATCAGAATAGTGATTTTTATATATGCAGTA